AGGAAAATTTATATTTGAAGGGAAATTATAATTCCCAAACATGAAGATTTTTTTTTTGGCAATTTGACCTTTCTCCAAGGGTTGGCTCTAAAAATTTGTCCTTTTGAAAATGGTGGGGGATATACGCCGGGGCAAATTAAAAAATCAGGCACTTTTTTTTTCATGGTTTTTTACCTTTTTACCATAACTATTTACCTTTTGTACTATTCCTACCAAATCCTATAAAAAAAGAAAACTCAACATTCAAAGTGAAAAATTTCAGATATTCAACAATTTTTGCGATGGATCCAAACAACTTAGACCCGAATGTAAGTTTTTCGTTTTTTTCCCGAAAATTCATCTACTCGTGTGAATTTACGTGAGCACTTGCCAAGTGCTCGCGTAAATTCACACGAGCTCAAGAATAAAAAAATTGTTCTTGAGCTCGTGTGAATTTACGCGAGCACTTGGCAAGTGCTCACGTAAATTCACACGAGTAGATGAATTTTCGGGAAAAAAACGAAAAACTTACATTCGGGTCTAAGTTGTTTGGATCCATCGCAAAAATTGTTGAATATCTGAAATTTTTCACTTTGAATGTTGAGTTTTCTTTTTTTATAGGATTTGGTAGGAATAGTACAAAAGGTAAATAGTTATGGTAAAAAGGTAAAAAACCATGGTAAAAAAGTGCCTGAATGTTTAATTTGGCCTGCGTATATCACCACCCATTTCATAAGGACAAATTTTAAAGCGAACCCTTGAGGTAAGGTCAAATTGCCAAAAAAAAATCTTCATGTTTGGGTATTATAATTACCCTTCAAATATAAATTTTCTTAGACTTTCACCTTTGCAGTGTCAAATTTAGTGGAATCTTATAGAGCATGTGGAATATTTTCCAATTGTACTCGTTTTACCTCATTGCAGCTCCACATTTTGAAACAAAGATGATTATAAAAAAAAAACTTTTGGCTTTGTAAATATAAGATTGTGGTGCAACTGAAACTATCTTTTTGCACAAAATGAGTAGAAACTAGAGAACATTCCACGGAATCTAGAAGATTCTATTGAATTTGACACTGCAATGACGGACATGTAAGAAAATTCATTGTTGATGGGATGATTGTAATTACCCAGACATGAAGAGTTTTTTCGTAATTTGACCTTTAACTTAGTAATTTACCCTAGTTTAAGAACTATAATGAGATAAAAAACATCTTACGCTCATTAATTGCGTTAATATATTTCTTAAACCGGTCAGTAGCAATAGGCCCTTCAAACTGCTAAGAAATAGAATTAAGTACACCCCTAAAATTCATCCGCTTTCCCTTAAAATTCGACACAAAATTTCACTCTGAACTTAACCTTATTCTATATTCACAATCAAGAAGACATATTGGAGAGTTTCTTATAAGTTTATACAGCAAGTCTAGTGATACGAAAAACAACTTATATACAAGAACAAATATACGTAGGCAAAAATGATCAAATATTACATCATTCTCTTTGCAGATTTAATGCCATTTCGTATCCCGTTTTGGCGTGAAAATTCTACTTCTGATATTTGCAGGGTTTTTTCTATTTCAGCAAATCTTGCCGTTTTCCGTTTTCTCCACTCCACGTCATTTCTTCTGGCGAAATTAACCGAAACCAAGAAAAAGAAGTCCATTGTCTGCACTTGTGAGTAGTGCAATGCAACTCATTTAGGTTTCACCAAATAGGATGCCCATATTTCATCTGTAGGGGGTGGCGGTTGCACCCAGTGCCCTGGTATACGGCTGCATCCAAGTTCCGTCAATTAAAAAAAACGAGATAATTTTTTAAACAGGATCATATATCAATAATAAACATTAGAGAATTTACATTGTTACTATAAAAAATAAAATGTATAAACTGATTAATTTCATCAGGATTTCTAAATATGTTAGATTGGTCTCACAAACCTTCCTCTGGGTCTTAGATATGCGTCCCACGTTCTTCGTACCTGCAATAAAGGTCAAAGTTACACAAGAGCGATTATAAGTAAGGCAAAGCAAAACAAAAAATACGTCGAATTAAATATGCTTAAATACCTCAATGAGTGTGCCCATATCAGTATTACTGCCGTGATAATAATGGTAAAATTCCATGGGCAAATTACAGACAGAATCGTAAGCACTGCCAGTTGTGTCGATTTTTCTTGATTCTTTAGTGGCAACCAATTTCGAATCTTTTTCATTTGCAGTCTCGTTTTTCTGGTCTTGATTTTTAATGTGTTGGAAATTACTCAAGCCCAGTTCTTCTGAGTCTGGTGCATGGCTATTGACGTGTTTTCTCGATTCCTCAGCATTAGCAATAGCATCTTTAGCGGCATCTGTATCAGCTGCAGCCATTGATTGACGTTCCTCTTCTTCAACTGCAGCTCTAACTTGTTCGAGAAACTTGTCATCCTCTTCTGGAAAGAAATGACCTGCATATTGTCATATCAAAAGGTTAGATAAGTTGTTTTCTCTTTTCTTTTATAATACCGAGTAATTGCAGATTTAATGGCTCAGTTCCTTTTCTAATTAATGGCTCAGTTCCTTTTCTAATTATACTAAAAGGTGGATTAAATCTATGGAATGGATATCGATTTTTTGAACCTTGTTTTTTCAATTTCTCTATTCTGAACGAGCGCAATTCCTGCAGCTTTTCGACGATTAAAACCAGCTCGAGCTGAAAATGCGAGATTTTTATGGTTATGATTTAGAAGCTTCAGACAGAAACGAACTAAGGAAGAAAAGAAGAGAAATTATAAACAAAAAGTCGTGATTTGGATAAGCTCTCACCTCGGATTCCAGCCGTTTCTTTTCTTCTTTTGCCTTAACCTTGGCTATTTCCTTCATCTTTTCTACCTGCAAAATCATAATGCCTCTTTATTATGCGAAAGTAAAAAGCAGATTAAGACAGTAAAAAAGAAGCACTTACTTGCCTCGTCAATTTTATTATGTCAACAATTGCGTAGAGAATACGTTCTTATATGCAGAACATTGTATACATGCATAAAAAGACCAATAGATTCGAAACATACAAAGAAAGTATTCCACCAATAGAGAAAAATACAAAGAAAGTATTACAGACCAAAGTCATGTAACGAGAAATCTTGAGCTCACTCATACCATAAAAATCTAACGTTTTCACTGTTCTCATGAAATCAAGAGTGTAAAGCTGGTTTACAAAAAGTTAAGCTCGTAAGTTTTGTGTCTGACTCAGTTTAGAAATCATCCCTCTTCCACACCATTATTAGGATACGGTATGCTTGTTAAAGCCCATAAATAGCTCCCAATTTTACCAACATTTCTTATTAACACCAACCCTCTTCAGGCAAGCCACATGGCATGCCCACAATTCGTTCTCGAAGCTCCTCCCACAGAACATAAATTACATAGTAAAGACAGAACATAGCTTGCAATGTTTTTACCTTGCGTTGTGCAGCATCTTTGGCCACCTCCCGAGCCCTCCACTCATCAGCTTCTTTATCCAATCGATCAAATTGCTCGCGCTCCTGAAAATAATAAAAATAAATAGCAAATCACAAATATAAATATACAGACGAAAGATTCAACTAAGGCACAAATCTTGAAAATGTTCTAAATATGTGATTTGCTACCTTTGCTAAATTCTGAGCTATTCGCCTTCTCTTCCTTCTTCGCCAAAGCTTATTTCGTTTATACTTTTCCATTTTATCAGCTAACCTTTTTACAGCAGATTTTTCCTCCCACGGGCTATTCTCATCCGTGACAACCCTGTACAGCTCCAGCTGATATCTTAGTTTCGACATTACGGCATTTGCAGCATTCAGCGATAGAGATTCTTGAAAGTCGAGTTTGATTTTATTTTCCTTCATAAACTTAGAGAACCTATCAATTGATATGTCGGCATCCCCAATGTGGCCTTCGGTAGTTCTTTCGCTTTCTTTCATCCGAGTTAACATCTTTTGTTCTTTTTGCCTGTTCAGTTCGACTTGATTAAAACCAATAAACAAAGCAAATCAGAATATTTTTAAAAAAATAAATAAAACATAAAATTGAGCAAATTTGTATATCAGATTGAGCTTAATTCAAGTATCTAATAATCGTATAAAACATAAAGCTAATTGAACTCCACAAAAAATTCAATTAGGAACAGAAAATTCGCCTTTGTGGTTCCGAAAATCAAATCAAACTGAAATTAAATTCCAAACTCGACAAACAGCTAAACCAAATCAAATAACCAGTTTCTTCTACCCTACCAAAATTTAAAAAAAAAAAAAAAAAAAAAAACAGGGTATCAAATTTAAATTACACGTTCTAGGTTACTGCTTCGAATTCACGGGTCGAGTTAAAAGTTTGTAAAATGCCCTTACATTGCTTTAGCGAGGTTTATAGTATCGTGAAGTTCTTTGAGGTGGCTGCTAACATTTGATCCAGTCCAGAAGGAGGAATGTGGAGGTGGCAACGGCGGCCACGGCGGCGGTGCCCAGTGCCTAGGGCCCGGATTAAACGGAGCCCGACCCATTTGATTCATATGGTTCATTTGATTAAACTCATTGAGCCAGCTCGACAAGAGCTCGAGATCAAACTCCAATTGTTTGAGCTGACAAACTCGAGTTTGAGCCCATCCTTAGTTGCTTGTAAGTTTGCGAGTCGGCTCACGAATTGTTTTCTATTATTTATTTATTTTTTTATAATATAAATATAACTATAATAAAATATATAATAGTAATTCAACAATACATGCACATAAAAAAAATCAACTGAAAAAATAATTTATAATAAAAAAAAATAATTTTAATACTATGTAAAAATTGAAAAAAAAAATCAGTTGAGTTTCATTTAAGTGGAATTCTTGGATCGGCCCACTTAGGGTGAAGCTAAACTATGGGTCTATCCATTAAATCAAATGCGTTTTAATAGGTTTGTTGAGCCATTTAGAGCCCATTTAACTAAGTTTATTTAAAATATTTTATAAGCTCCTACATCAAATTTATGTGTGTATATTTACAATTGTGTATTAATAATTTGAATTTTATTTTTAAAAGACGAAAGATCTGAAACTACTGAAGCTAAAGTCTAATTAATGTCACTTCAAAAGAAATTAGGAATTAAATAATACTACCATTCAAATTATTAATTGTTCCAAATTTAAGCAACAAAGTCAGGATGGCCGAGTGGTCTAAGGCGCCAGACTCAAGTTCTGGTCTTCGAGAGAGGGCGTGGGTTCAAATCCCACTTCTGACATTTAATTTTCTTTTATCCTTTTTTTTTACATTTCCTTTTTTTATTTTTAATATTCGTTTCATTTTATTTTGGGTA